TAAGCTCCTGTATAAGGCAATGGTTCATCAGTTGGTTCAGGAAATGTGATGTCACTAAGTTTATATTTTGTGGGAATCCACCATCTATTCCCTACAATGTAAGCTGGACTAAACTTAATCATAACTGTTGGGGGAATATTTCTTTTTCTTTTATTATCAGGGGTCCCTTTTTCTAGAACTCTCTGAGCTTCTAGGATAACTCTTTCTAGGTTAGTTTAATTCATTAATTCTGCCTGTTGTAACATATCTGGAAAGTTTGCTTCTGTATTTACTACTATGTGGGAGCCACAAAACTGCTTGTGAAGTTGTAGGAGTTTCTGGATGCAGTGTCACATCAGATGATAGATTGAATGTGGCATTGCCCACATTTAATCTTTGGTGCTAGTCTGTATTATTCAGAGAAGCCATCTCTATTGGACTGGAAAGAAACAACATGCTCTGTTCGTGGATCAATAGAAAAATAGCCAAAATGAGAATAAAGGCAATGAATGTACATCCCAGAAGAATATAATAAGGATAAAGGTAGAGTCAGTAAAGGTTGAGCCAAGTTTGTAGGAAGCCTTGAACCAACATCCCCTTCCTGCAGGCATGCTCCTTTAAGCTTATGCTTTGCCTGGAGCATTTATACTGCATTTATACTCCTGAACCTAGAGATTCTGGTACTCACCCATGTGGCTTTATAAACTTGCTTTTTATGAATTGAAGCTAATGCTTCCAGCAGCAAGGCAAAGAGAAAGAACCCAGAAGAAGCCTACTTAAAATGCCCGTGGTGGGCGGGGAGACGCATGTGCAAATGGATCTTCTGCCCCAACTCCACCCTCCAAAACAACAAAAACAACCCAGGACTTTCAAAGAAAATGTCCTTCTTGGAGACTACAATTCCCACAATGCTCAGCACCGCCCTGGTCAAAAGAGTGCATGGATGTATTGGGACTTTTTTCTCCCTGCTTTAGGAGCTAAGATGAATTTTACTTGAAAAACAATATTTCCTTCCTGAAACCAGCCACAAAATGTAAATATATGGGGACAAGTGGATGCATTGACTGTTTGGTTCTTTGTTCTAATAATGAAATTTTGTTTATGTGACTGTGTTGCTCATACATTCCTTTTTGTTCCATTCCTGTGTTCTGCTGAATGTAAATTATATCTCTGTTTTGTCTTAAATTGTTAAATACCTCTCCTCTCATCTTACAAATGTACTGACAGACACTGAACTTTTATCGGGTCATTTCCCATTGCTGTAATGTACACAAGGGCATAGAATAGGAAGATTGTTACTTGGATATGCAGTATAATCCTTGTGTTGATTTGCCTTTCGAAAAATCTGTCAATTAATTTTCCAGAAAATCCCCAATTCTATCTATTACATAAAAAGGAGTTTTAGGTTGTTTCTGAAGTTTGCTTTTTATTTAAGGGTGTTATGATTGTTGTTTTTGCTATTGGTCCTGTGGCTTGAACTCAGAGCTTGTGCACTATCTGTGAGCATTTGCTGTGCTCTATTTGCATGTCTTTAATAATGTCTTCAGGTAAGTAGTGAAAAGTTTCCTCACAGGGATTCTTAAGTACATGGCACATTACCCTGATTTTCCTACAAAGAGAGTGATTTGGGGGTCAGAATGAATGCAGGTGTGTAGAAGAGTGAAGTTTAGGGTAGGTCTATGTTGATGTGAAGCTTAATCACTTGCAAACCAGTCTGATTTTGTCTTTTCATTTTTGCAGGTGAAAATCTCTTTAATATTCTTACCTCCTCTCTGAAACTAAAAGTTCCTCTCAATAGCTTTAGGCTACATATCTAGGGGACCTCAGACTTGTCTTCTCAGACCTTATCCATTAAGGTGTGCAATAAATCCTTTGTCTCCTGTCCCAGTCTCATCAGAGCACAAGCAAGACTTCTGTGAGCCAATGGGATGATAGTTAAGAAGACAGAGAGATGGCTGATGGCACAATTCTGCCATATCTCTCAAATACTTGTGTAAAATTGGTCTAAGCCCACTCTGCCAAAAAGTGCAAACAGCACACTACTTTCCTCACTCTGTTTCAATCTATGTTTTCCACCAAAGCCTCCCTTCACTTAAAGTCCCACCCCAAACTGATAGAATACAGACTTCCTCAAACCATAAAGGGCAAGAACTTGCAGTCCTGAGGGTGGGAGTCATTGGCCCTGAAGCCTTTGCTCACATTTTGCCTGCTCCTGCAGTCACCCCAGGGTCTGCAACAGTCTCTCTCTCTCTCATAAACAGAGATCCTATACTTGTCTCCTAAAGTTTACTGTGATTTTGGGTGATCCTTTACATACAACATAATTGGGATAGATTGGATTGGAAACTTGCTTACCTGATTTTATTTCTCCAGTGTATGGGTTTTGCATGTCCGTTTTGTGTAGCTGAACTATTCCTCATGAAAAATGGAAATCAAAGTGCATATTTGGATTATAGACTTCAACTTAAAAGCACCTCGGATAATATAAAGAAAACCTAATTTCATTCTGTAAAAGTAAATTCCTAAGAGGCAAGGAGAAAAGGATCAGGAAAAACTGGAGTGCTTCCAAGACTACCTGTGAAGTGTAGTTTTCACTTTTCCAGCCTATATTTCTGAGGCATTTATTTATACTTTTATCCTTTTTTTGTTTGTCGTTCGGTCATGGCACTTGTACTCTGAGCCTGGGAACCATCACTGAGCTCAAGTGCTCTACTATGTGAGCCACAACACACTTCCGGATTTTTAGTGGTCACTGGAGATAAGTGTCTCACACATGTTGCTGGCTAGTCTGACTTTGAACTGGGATCCTCAGTTTCAGCCTATTGAAAAGTGAGGATTACAGACATGAGGCTCCAGCACCCAGCACACACATTTCTTGTGTTTTATGTCCCAACCCTGGACTTGAACTCAGTGCATGGACACTGTCACTGAAATTCTTTTGCTCAAGACTAGCACCGTACTACCTGAGCCACATTTCCACATTCTGCTTTTTCTCTGTATGTGGTACTGAGGACTTGAACCCAGGGCTTCATGCATGCTAGGTAAGCATACTATCACTGCTGGGGCCAGCCACAACTCCAGCAGTGCTCCAGAAGAACAAGGGGATGATAATGGAAGAGACAGAGACAAGCCCAATGATGAATTTCTGTTTATTCCAGCAATGACCTTAGCTATTGACATTTTCTCTATCTGCACAATGCTTGCATCACATTGTTGTAAGACTCAATGTGCCAGCAAGCACAGATCATATTCATCCTTCCTCATTATAGTTCAACCTTTGTTCACCAAATTTCAACAGGTAAGCCTGCAGGGTCAGAAGTAATAGGAAAACTCCCTCCTATGAATAGGGCAGTGGTTGTGCAGGTTTTGCTCACACCTTGCCAGCTGCTGGCACCTCTGGGTCTTCAATGTCTCTCCTTTATCATTTTGTAAATTGAGCAAGTGTCTATCAGCCTGAACCTTGAAAAAGCAGCAGATCATATATCTCAGGAAGAATGGGAAAAAAAGGCATACGAAAAGAAGGAAGAGAAAAAGGCATAAGAAATAGCAAAAGGTGTGTTATTATCCAGGTTGAATCCCTGCAGGTAATGGAGAAGTGTTGTAGCTAATTCTGGGGGTGTGCTACCTATAGGGTGGAGTGACCAATCTCAGATATCTGACACTGAAGCTGCATAATGTCTAAGCTTAAATTATCAAAGGACCAGATTCCTCAAATAAGTCACTGGATAATGGTCCAAGTCATATTTCCATCATACTTAAGAAGAATAACACAGATGTACTGACCATTAGCATGACACATCATTTTTAACCACATCTTTAGCAGGTCCACCTGATTATCAGCATACATCATTGCTGTTTCCAAATCATAAAACATACCACAACCTTTTTATCTACTTCCACCTGCATCCCAGGGCACCAGAAATTTATCAAGCTAAAGAATTAACATGTTGTGCTGTATATATGGTTTGCATAAGGTTCACAGCAGAAGCAGTAGCACTAGCAAGAAGAGTTGTGGTAAAATAAGGTTGGCAACCAATATTCCCAAAAATTGGCAGCAATGGCTGAGAGCCCTCTAAAGCTCAATAGCAAACAGAGACCCAAACTTAATCTACCAGCATTGTTCTATCAACTAAACAGTCAATATAAGTTAAGGTAATTGAATAGTAATCTCAGAGGATTTATAAGGTTAGTGAAAATACAATTGTTCCTGCAAGAGGCATGAAAAAACACCCATCCTTGAAAACAATATGCAGCTCAACTACCAGCCTGTACAGATACATAACACAAGCTTGCACTGTAAGTGATCAAAGAATCATGAAACAAAACAGGTCTCTGAAGCAGAGGTATGGAATCAAGACAGGCATTCATGCAAATATGCCTCAAGGCAGCATCCAGTCTACAATGTCAGGGTGAGCTTGTCCACACAGGCTGACAAACATGAGGTCCAGTAAGTTACCACTGATCACGTCACTCCTCTGAGAACAGTCCTGCAGTGAATATTGGGAGGCTCCTAACAACAGAACAGCGGACAACAAGTGAAATCCACAGGCCCTCAATGGTGGTGGATCATCACCAACAAAGGAATCTCTAGGAATACAGGAAACCAAGTGGGGTGCACCACATCTCCTGACAAATGAATTCTACAGGTTTTATGCATAAGCTCACACTTTTTCCATTCATTCACCTTTTCTTCCAGAGGAAGTCAAAGCCATAATCTATCCCTGAATACCTTACCATACTTGTACCTTCTACCTCAGGATCTACAACACTCAATAATTGAGATCAATGCAATAAGAGAATATAATATTTGTATAAGAAATAGTCAGACAAGTCTGTGAGCAATGAACAATTCAAAAATAATGTAGGAAGTAAATTCTATTTATACTAGTACAATAAACATAAAACTTAGAAATATATGTTTGAAAAATGTAACCTTGAACAATGAAAACTATGCGACACAGCTAGTTTAGGAAGCAGCCATTTTTACCTGATCCTTATCTCCTTGCCTCTCAGGAACTTACTTTTAACTTTTACAGAAAGAAAGAATTCTTTTTGCTTCATATTTTATAGGTGCTCCAATGTTGCCATCTATACATCCAAATGTGCCTTATGATCTGCATTTTAATGAGGAATAGCTCAGGTCCACTAAAAGAGGCATGGAGAACCTATGCACTGGAGGACTGAATATCAGGCATGAATATTTCCTACGCAATCATTCCCAGTCATGATGTGGGGAAAGGCTCATCAACAATCACAACAAATCATTCAGAGACAGCTTAGATGTCTGATATGAGGGAGAGAGGCAAAAGGTTTATTCCACAGTGTAATGGATAGAGTCTGGGAAGACAATTCTGAAGATGCCTAGATATGTAGCCTACAGTTGCTTCCAGAAACTTCTAGGATCAGAGAAGAGGTAGAAAATCAAAACAAAACAGGGTATGCAAAACAGAAAAGTAAAAACAGACTGGTTTGGAGCAAGTGATCAAGCTTCACATGAACATAGACATACCCTAAACTCTACCTCCACCCATATTCAACCTAATCTCCCTAGACAAGCATTTTTTGAAGTCTTGGCAAGGAGTACCATTTTCTAAGAAACCCTGGGAGGAAACTTTTCACTAGTTCCCTGAAACAATAAAGAAAGGCAAGTAGAGCACAGCAAATGCTTACAGACAATGCCCATGCTCTGAGTTCAAGCCACAGGACCAACAACAAAACCAGGGAAAAAACTTTTTAAGGAAAGGCAAACTTCAGACACAAATAACCAAAAACTCCTTGAAATTTCATAGATGGAATTTGGGAGTTTCTGGGAAAGTAATGGGGAGAGTTTGACAAATCAATTTAATTCAAAGAGTATAAAGTATGTCTACCTTAAAATCCTGCTATTTTATTTCAGTATATATATATTAGAGCAGGGGGAAATGCTTCCAGAATCAATCGGTTAAATGTCTGTAAATACCTGATTGTGTGACTTCAACTCTGGGCCTGAGCACTATCCCTGATCCCTTCAGATCAAGGTGAGCGCTACACCAATTGAGCAACAAGGCCACTTGCATTTTTCTGGTGGTTTAATGGAGAGAAAGCTCATGAACTTTCCTGCTCCAGTTGGCTTTGGACCAGCATCCTCAGATCTCAGCCTCTTGAGTCCCTAGGATTACAGGCATGAGCCACTGGCACACAGCTACAAACACATTTTTAATGTGAGAGGAGAGATATTCAAAATTTTAAGGCAAAAAGGACATAATTTATATGTAACAGAACACACATTTTTAACAATAATAACAACAAAACCATGGAGTCTCATAACCTCAATTACATTAATAGAACTAAGAATTAAAAGGCCAAATTATCTAATGCTCCTAATACATTTCCTTCTTTTGGTTGATCTCACAAAGTTTCAGGAGGTAAACTGAGTTTTCAAGGAGAAACTCACCTTAGTTCCCGTAGATGGGAGAGAGAGTTCCCCATGCATCCATGCACACTTAGGACCAAGTGTCTGGCGCCAGTGAAAACCCTGTAGCAAGCCCACTTCCTCTAGGTGAATGCATCGCATTGTGGGAATTGTAGTTTCTATCAGGACACAGATCATTTGAAAGTGTGTTTGCAGGAAAGGGGAGAAAAGAGGCCAATACCACCTTGCTCACTGTTGGTGTTTTCAGTTTGCAAATTCGGGTTTCTTTCCTTTTGCCTTGCTGCTGGACTTGCTCTTAAGTACAGTTTTGCACTCCATAGTCAGAACCAAGAGGTAGAAGCCCAGCTTGTCTTCTTGGGAGGTGTAACTTGAAGCCATCTGAGGATCCTAGGGAGAGTCTTTCCCCAGATTGGGTTTAATGATATCTTATGGGCTCATAGGTTTGTGCTGCCATTAGCATTTGTTCCTCGAGGTACCGGAAACTGTCTGACAAACCTCTGGTCCTCTAGACAAGGAGAGTCAGGAGTTGTGCGCTAATACTCCTGAACCTAGAGATTCTGGTACATACCCATGTGACTTTATAAACTTGCTTTTTGTGAATTGAAGCCAATGAATCTTAAAGATTCATTGAAAATGTCTTATATAAACATATTCATCCTCTTTTGACCCTCTGCACTTCCTATGGCTTTTGAAACTTTCAAAATGTTGCTCGCACAGATATACTCTACTTTATGTATCTGTTCTGACACATTACAATTTCTCAACTAATATAATTAGCCTATTCTCCATCACTTAAAATAAGAGAGACTGTCGGGGTAAGTGATTCAGTAGTAGAGTGCTTGCCTGCATGAATAAGTCCCAGGTTTGATTCCTCAGAACCACATAAGTAGAAAAAGCTTGCAGTGCACTGTGGCTCAAGTTGTAGAGTGCTAGCTTTGAGTTTAGGAGCTGAGGAACAGTTCCCAGGCTCAGAGTTCAGGCCCCATATCTGACCAAAAAAAAAAGAGAGAGTTCCTGTGTATGTCTTCCTAATCAATTGATAAAATATAATTTGAGTACATTACAATGCCCTAGATATGTGTGTGCTTGTCCTGATTCTTGAACTCAAGGTTTCAAAAATGACCATGAAATTATTTGGTTCAATGATAATGTTGTACCACGTAAGCCACATCTCGACATACAGCTACTTTGGGTACTTTATTGGAGATAAGTGTCTCAGATATTCTTTTATCCATGGATTTATTTTGTGATCCTTGTAGGGATCCTTCATGTGTATCCCAGGGGACCACAAGCAGGCACAGGAGAAAGATTATTATAAAGTTAACTAGAAGGACTATATTTCCCAGGAGACAGAGCACATGCATCTGTCTTTCTTCAGGTAGCCAGAGGAGCTGGGGAGCAGGAAGTTAGGTAGGTGCATGCTCAGGTAAGTGTGGGTAGAGAGAGGGGTGGTCAGCAGTATGGAGGAAAAATCTAGGTCTGGGGGAGCTCAGGTCTGGGTGGAGCTGAGGAGCAAAAGTGGGGATAATACAAACTTTCCTTAGATCTCAGCCTTCTAAATAGCTAAGATTACAGCCATTAGACATGAGAACCCAGTTACAATGTCCTCTTTTAAATTCAGATTATATCCTAAAAAATAATACGAAATAGAAAACTTGAAAATTTGATTGCAAGATATCCAGTCGCTAATGTGGATATGGACAGTCCAAATCCCAGAACAAACAGAAAATACCCAACCTTGAAAGTTGTAACACTCCTCATCTTAAATATTGTGAATGTGAACACTTAGCCTATAATAAATTCTCTTTAAGTTTCTCAAAGTAAGAAAACATTCTTGTGAATTAGAAAAACCCATTACTAATGTGCAAACACTGCTTTTAAAGCATTCATATCGTCTTTCCTATCAAAAACACCTTACTGAAGTAAACAGAATTGATTTTCTCATTTTGTGAATGTCACTGCAAAGTTCATGCATTTTATTTTAACAATTATCATTGTGGGTAAGTGTAAGTAAAACCATAATGCTGGATAAAAGAATTTCCTGTGTAATCAACCAACAAGTATAAGCAAAAGCACATACCTATATAAGTTGTTTCTTTTACATTTTATGGATCTACATTTTGGAGTGTATTTTCTGTTAATACTGTTCAGTAATACATAAGACTTCACTCTTCTGTGGATTTGTCTTTAGTGGAGACTTTAATGCTCTACATGATTCAGGAATGTTTCTTCTCCCATAAGAAGACTTTATGCTTTTCCAGTCCACCTATCATGTTCTGACCAGAAACTTCTAGGGTAAAATCACACAGGTTCTTTTCTGACTCTCTCATTTGGCTTCTCTCCAGGCCATGGTTCCAGAACCTTTACTCATTGTCAAAAGAAAGAAAGAATGAAAGGATCTCTGATGAGATTCTTTGATTTCTCACTCTGTTTGACATTCCATGTTATGAACCTACTTGTGTCCAAGATTGAAAAACAGAAAAAAAAAAGATTCAGTTTTAGGAACATGTTTCTAAAAAAGCTAAAGATGGCTTTTAGATTTAGCAGATGATCAAATCTTGGCTTCTAAGTTAAGGGCAGATTTGCTTTAGTTTGCTTCTTATTTTTTAATTTGACCACAATGTTGCCTCACTTTTTTGGGATTCAATGACACCTAGGAGGTAAGTTCTCATGGATGGTAAAGGTTGCCTAGAATCTTGTCAGACATCACATCCACATAAATAACATAAGACTATCCTAATGAAGTTTTTTTTTTTTTTTGTCGGTCATGGGGCTTGAACTCTGGGCCTGGGCGCTGTCCCTCAGCTCTTCAGCTCAAGGCGAGCGTTCTACCACTTGAGCTACAGTGCCACTTCCAGTTTTCTGGTGGTTTATTGGAGATAGGAGTCTCATGGTCTCTCCTGCCTGGGCTGGCTTTGAACCGCGATCCTCAGATCTCAGCCTCCTGAGTAGCTAGGATTACAGGCGTGAGCCACCAGCACCTGGCTCCTAATGAAGTTTTAATGGATTTGCTGAAAAAGTGTGGTCAAACATAATTTTGACTGCTGTACAGGACTGAGTGTGTTATAAGTAGTTCAATTAATCTCTGTAAATACTCTTAGACTTCTTTGTGGTATTTGTCTTTCTTGAAACTTAGTCCGTATTTGATGGTATTTATAGAAATCTTTGTTTTTCCCTAAGTTATGGTAGAAGTACTGGACAATATTTCTATGTAATTCTATATTCAGTTCTTTTTAGGACTTTTTGTCCCATCTTTGATAGTTTTACATACCGGAGAGAAATGCACCAAGTTCACATTGTTGTCACATCTTTCCTAGATTTTGTTAGACTTTGGAAGGATTTTTGTTGTTTTGTTTAAAACTATGGCCACACTAACATGTATAAAATGGTTATTTGATTGTATTTTGATTGGAATTTTTCTCATGACTATTGATACTACTTTTATATGTTAATCTTCACAATAAATTTTTTTAAGAATGCAAAAACAAGAGAAACACAGAGTAAGTTCTCCAGTGGATGTAGGTAGCAGTTGGTGCAGGGACAGAAAGCAGACATGGTAAAGGAGAGGAATATGGTTTGATAAAAGTGTATTTGTGTATGTGTGTCTATGTGTGTGTTTGTGTGTTGTGTTAATAAATGAAACATGCTGACTCTGGTTTTTTTTTTTTGTT